GAGATAATTTGAAGTTTAATAAGGACAATGATTGTAAAAGATCTAAGCCCACCAAGTCCAATGAAATTCATGAGTTCATAAAGATGCAAAAAATTAAAATGTATTGGTCATCTTCGGAGAATGCTGGAACACTGCATCTTTGTTATGGAAACTCGTAAGTAAAGAAAAGAATCAATATTTCCCCTGCCTCCCCTTACACTGTACCACTAGATAACCAAATAGGAAATGAGAGAATATTTATATTTTGTAGATGCATTTCACTTAGTAAAAGAAGAAGGAATGGTAGAGTATCACCATTTTCCAACCCATTTTGTCACCACTTACCTGTCAATTTGTCATACTGTGGTGGCTTGTGTATTGTTGTGAGGCTGGAGGCTATGCCATCGGTATTTCAAATACCAGCAGGTATTTAAACTTGCTTATGAGCAATTGAGGGAGCTCTGGTAGCATAATGCCTAAGGCACTTGACTACTAACCAGAAGGCTGGTGGTTCAAACCCACCAGGCACTCCTCAGAAGGAAGGTTGGGCAATCTACTTCCGTAGTGATACTGCCTCAGAAACCCAAGGAGGGGTCACTATGAGTTGGGTCTGACTCAACGGTACATAACAACAACAACAACAACATGAGCAATTGATGATCTGTTCCACAGTCAGCTCTTAGCCTTGTTGTCCTGGACAGCTGAAGTACCTGTCCATGGTGGACAGGTTTCAGCAAAACTTCAACTAAGACAGACTCGGAAAAAGGAAGGGGCCTTTCACTTCTCAAAGAATTGGCCAGTGAAAACCTTATGAATATCAGTGAAATACTGTGATATATTACTGGAAAACTTGATGAATAGCCCTGAAACATTGCTTGATATAATGCCGGAAGATGAGTCCCTCAGTCAGAAGGCACTCAAAATACGACTGGAGAAGACCTGTTTCCTCAAAGTAAAGTCGACTTTAATGATGTGGATAGAGTAAAGCCTTCAGGACCTCCATTTGCTGATGTGGCACAACTCACAAGACACAGCTGCAAACATCCATTAGTAAATGGAACATGGAATGTATGAATGTAAGAAAATTAGAAGTTGCCAAAAATGAAATGAAAAGCATAAAGATAGATCTCCCAGGCATCATTGAGCTGAAATGGACTGGTTTGGCCATTTTGAATCAGACAACCATATAATCTACTACACTAGGAATGACAAATTAAAGAAGAATGGCATGGCATTCATCATCGTAAAAAAAATGTTTCAAGATCTATCCTGAAGTACAATGCTGTCAGTGATAGGATAATATCCATACACCTACAAGGAAGACCAGTTAATACTATTACTATTCAAATTTATGCACCAACCACCAAAGCCAACCATGAGGAAATTGAGGAGTTTTACCAACTTCTGCAGAATTGATCAATTCTGAAATTGATCAAACATGCAATCAAGATGTATTGATGGAAAAAAAATCAAAAAGAAAAAAAAAAAAAGATGTGTTGATGATTGGAATGCAAAAGTTGGAAACAGAGAAGAATCACCAGTAGTTGGAAAATATGGCCTTGGTGATAGAAATGACGCCAGAGATTGTATGATAGAATTTTGTAAGACCAACGACTTATTCATTACAAATACCTTTTTTTCAACAACATAAATAGTAGCTATACATGTAGACTTCACTATATGGAATACACAGGAAAAGATCAACTACATTTGTGGAAAGAGGTGATGGAGAAACTCAGTATCTCCAGCCAAAACAAGGCCAGGAGCTGACTGTGGAACAGACCACCAATTTCTCACAAGCAAGTTCAAACTGAAGCTGAAAACCATTACAAGTCCACAAGAGCCAAAATATGACCTTGATTATATCCACTCTGAATTTAGAGACCATCTAAACAATAGATTTGATGTATTAAACACCAGTGACCAAAAACCAGATGAATTGTGGGATGACATCAAGAACATCATACATGAAGAAAGCAAAAGATCATTAAAAGACAGGAAAGGAAGAAAAGATCAAAATGAATGTCAGAAGGGACTCTGAAAACTGTTCTTGAATGTAGAGTAGCTAAAGCAAATGGAAGAAATGATAAGATAAAAGAGCTGAACATAAGATTTCAAAGAGCAGCTTGAGAAGACAAAGTCAATTATTAAAATGAAATGTGCAAAGGCCTGGAGTTAGAAAACCAAAAAGGAAGAACATGCTTGGCATTTCTCAAGCTGAAAGAACTGAAGGAAAAATTCAAGACTTGAGTTGCAATATTGAAAGATTCTATGGGAAAAATATTGAATGATGTAGGAAACATCAATAGAACATGGAAGGGGTACCAGAGGACC